GCATCCCCAAGGCATCAATTTGTTTTGAGTCTCTTTATGGAGAGACTTGTAGGTCTCTTCTGCCACTTCCGTGCAATCCCCCTACAGGTCTGCCAGTACTTTTCCACTACTTTCGCCGTGGAAATATACACGGTGGCCCAGAAAACGCGTGCCCGCGTAATACTCTCGAATTATGGTTTTGTTAAATTTGTCCGGAATTGTTGTTTCCATTGTTAAAAATAGAACCGACGATACGTAGAGGAAAGTCTTCTCTTACGAGATAGGTCTCTAATATCATTTCAACGCTCAAATTCAATCACAAATCTTGCTTTGCAACAATTGCACAATCTAACGATGAATTTTCCACTGAACATATTTCGCTCCAAGAGCAAAAAATTCATGGTGGGATCAACAGATGATGATAAGCGACGCTTCTAGATTCTCACGCGGTGAGAAGAATCGCTTCACTCGGGTGACATTGTCGCGTGTGATTGACCTAACAAATCCATAATTAAATTGTAGGTGCAATTTATTAAATTGCCGTCGAGCGATTCGCATATAAAACAGCGCTCCGTGCGCACGAGGCTCGCTACGTGGAGCCGCGAAGATTCGATTAAAAGGCATCGTCGCCAATAAAAGAATGATAGCACGTGTATAAAGTTCTGGTACTCATACAATTAAAGCGGGGCCTTGACGGTAAAACTGTTAAGGTTAACCCGAGGAAAGTATAAAAAGAAACCGGTCGATCGATGTCATTTATGTACAAAGGTACAACGATTGGGCGGCATCGCGCAAACTTCGCTCTCTATCTATTTATATTTCTCTTAGAACATTTCGGTAGAACGTTACGATTAATAGCCACAAACAGCCAATTCGGATTTAGCTCTGTACACGAGACAAACTCGTAAATGATGACTCGATTAACTTTATCGATAACGTTAATAAATATTTTCATTCTAGGTCTCCTTTCTGACAGTAGATAAACATAATTAGCCAATTACGGGAGGTTGAAAAGCTTTTCTTTCGTGTTTCCTACAAATCTTCTTGCAATCTAATCTGACGAGTGAAAAAAATGAAACGACGCAGCAAACTAATCAGCACTAAAAAAAAACTATCTCACTAACGCAAGTAGATTTTTAAGTGTCGCGACAAATATTGCTCGCTATTTTCTTGTATCTGTTAGACACCTGTTTGTAGACTGCAAAATTTACAGCAGCAACATTCCAGCAATATCTTCTGGATAGTTTAGGTTCCGTGACTAAATATTGATCGTTTGCATTGGATAAAAATGAATTTCGGTACCTTAGCTAGAACAATCTTCGTAAGGAATATAACTGCTTATGTACCACAACCAAGCGTTATAATGAATGGGCGCCGCAGAATGGCTTTCTTCCTAACATTCGCTAACAGTTCAGATAGAAATTCTGTTTCTGTTATTTAAATTGACTAATTACAAAACATATGCGATTTCGCAGCACATTGGCTATTCATTTACATGTCTTAGTTATTTTTTCGTACCTAGAAAATTGTTGCTGCACTTGCAAGATCATTTTTTTTTCAGTTAGAAAGATTGCGATAACTTTCCTCCCTCCCTTCTCCCCCCCCACACACACAATCGGTACGACAACTAATTGATAGGACGATAGGACTAATCAGTCTCCCGTCGACGGAACTTTCTCCTCGCGCAACGAGGCACCCGCAACGCGTCGCGTCGCCCATTTCGATGAACCAGAAGCGCAGGCTCACCTAGGTAAGACCTCTTGCAGTGCTCTTCTAGTAGATAATTGTTGAGACAGTCGAACACCTTAACGCCCATCTTTTTCTCTCCCGGAGTGAACGTCGAGCGGGCCACGGGGAGGCCTGCTTGCTCGGCGGAATTCGGCGGACCGTCTCGGCGACGGGGCTCTCCTCGCGCGGGGACACGTTGGCGCGCACTGGCTCTGTATATAGACACGTCGGATCGCAATGTCCACCCCCGGATCAATATGCCCCGCGGATATCGGCTCGCGCTACGGACTTCCCTCTGCCGTATCCTCCCTCCGCGCGCCCTCGGAATCACGACGCCGATGAAGATTCTCTGGGGAGACGCGGACGACACCTCGACGCTCAAGGTTTACGTGGACTCGTCCTCCTGCGAATTTTCGCGAACGACGCGTACGTTGTCGGAGCCACGGAGCAGCTGATTGCGAACCGCGTCGACCACCCGAGTTCGACTCTCCCACCCTACTCCTTTTCGCAGCTGGCGGGGTTTTCATCCCCCCGTTGGCGCATGTTTCTCTCAGCGCAACAGCCAGAAGACATCGTGTGAAAAAATCGGTCGAAAAGTGCAATCTGGCCGCAGGCCTGATATAATGTATTGAAATTTTCGAGATTTGTTCAAACAAAATTCCGTCACTGTCTTTTGAAGGAATCGAATCAATTTTTGTGGAACAATGGCAGCTAGGAATCATTAAAAAATTTTTGGATTTCTTCTACTGAAATGTGCTTACACGAATTAAAATTCCTTGTCAAAAGGCGCATGAAATCAGTTCAATGCTCTAATTACCGCGCTGTTAAAAATAGATCTCAAAGAAAAGAATTACACGGCTTCGAAATAAATCGAATCTCAACCTAGACACTACGTTAATGCTTGAAACAAGAAGCGACGAAGACTTTGGCCGGTCCAACTAGCACGTGATACGAGCGTGATGACTAACAATTTCGAACGACGTTCCTGTAAACTTCCTGTCCTTCTTTTAGCTCTTTCTTCGTTTCGTCTCCTTTTTCTTACAAAAAAAATCGACTATGCAATTTAACTTCTTCTTTCCGCCATTTGTACTCTCCTGCACTTCGCAGAAATTCCCGATAAAAGCATTTTGTATGGAAGCAAAAAAATTTTTACCGGCTTCGGATATAAATGAAGATATGATCTTCTCTATCTTGATTTTGATAACGAGATACATATCGGAGAAATTATAAATCGATGGCAATCATCTTCTGAGTTCTTTCAATAATTTCTTAATTAGTAATAAGAATATATTTACTTGGTCGTTTATTTATTTCAGATATACATATATTTTAAATTTCTGTGACTAAAACTATAGAACAAAATTTGTCTAAAACAAGAGAACGCTTATCAAGGCAGTTTTCCTTTCCAAAAAGGAAGAATTGTATGTGTGATAAGAAAGTATGCAGTAGCCTGTTCTAACTGCAACGATGCAAGTGGAACCTGCAGAGTCACCTAAAGGTTTCAGCAGTTACTTTTTAACGCACAGCATTTATCACACGGCGATAAATTGATTACTTTAGTCCGCTGAATTTCGTAACCGCATTATTACATTGCGGATAATATGAATTTTAAATGAATACTAATCTATTTTCGGTTGTGAAATTACGGTTTGTAAATAATAGAATTAATTTTTGGCCATAAGAATTAATTTAAACGTGATGTTTATCGTATGGGTATTGGGTATACGAGTGGCTTCCAGCGCGAATGTCCTTGAGCAGGTATAAAAAGTACTTTGCAAATCATTTCTGATGCGGCTATATATCCATTTGTATGCAGATTATTTCGATCGACCGTGAGTTCGGATTTTGACGCTCTTTCTGGTGTTAAAGAGAAACAGGTTTTCTGTATTAATAACTACTGTACCAATGAATCAACCTATCTCTTACATCTTACCTGAATTAATTACACATTAATTCAGGAAACAATGTTTTCTAGTTTTACAAAAGAACCGAGCTCTGTTTATCTAATATCCTTATTTTTTTTTCTGTACATGCAGGCAGAGATTATACAAGAGAAAGAAGACATACATGGACATATTTCATGTATAATTATATACACGTACAATTTATGTATATTTTAATATAAAAAAGTTTTGACCGGGTTCGAATTTAAAATCACGTTCAATATACTCTGCAAATCGCTATGTAATCTTATTCGATATTTAACGACGATACCCTGCTGGAAATAATTCTACAAAATCTACAAAAAATTAAATATAACTGCCTAAATCTAAGAAATTCTACGTAAATGTAAAAAGTGTTATAAAAATCTACATGAAAATGCTAGAATTGGAACACTCTTGTTAATTTTTGTAATATTCTACAAGTAAGCAGATGTTTTAATCCTTTAAGATTTGGTTGTTTCTCAAATTTTTAAAACTAGTAAAGTTTTGCACTAACAAACTTGTAAGTTTTACAAAATTGTACATTTTCATGAAATACTACTTGCAATAATTTCTTGATTTGAGAACATTGTAATTTGTGGCTCTATTTCGTAGATGCTTTTACAAAAAAATTAATGTTTCAACGAAGATATAAAAATTTCTACAAATTTTTATTTCAAGTCAATTTTTTTGTAGTTATTTATAGAAATTTTTTCCACTAGGGTACAACGACTTATTGCGAGTCACCCCTCACCACGTGTGCGATCGCGAGACCTTTAACTGTCACCCCTCTTGGCACGATCTCGAATTCTTTACAAAGCGAATTAATTGCTACTGTTACACTTGAAGTGCCTCTTGTTAATATACTATACATATATATATAAGCAAGGATACTTACGCAAAATGATGTTTCCCAGTTGATATTTTCGCGAGAGTACACCAATATTATTGACGGGACAAACTGATCGCTTCGTCAGACAACACAGTCGCTTTATATTGAACAGTACAATTTCCAGGCCCGCCGGCAACGTCGCCTCCCCTTTTCGCTGCCAAACGACTGTTATCACGAGCTTCCGATAACGGGTGAGAAGATAGCTGCTTCTCGGGGTCGTTCCGGATCGACCCTTATCCGGGACCGAGAAGTTTATCGCGGCTCGTGACGCGGTCACGCGCTTATATAGCCCCGAGAAATCGACGGACACATGGTGACGACACGACAAATTGGAGGAAGAAATGTGTACGAGTAGAGAGGGAGATATGATTCGCAGAAGCAACTGCGCAAACAAAGGGCCCGAGATCTTTAATTATTTATAAACGGACAACGTCATTGTGCACGATGCATTTAGTTGGAAATGAGAAAATGATCTCCCGCTCGATCGGCGCAGCCGCTGTCATGTCTCAATTAATAAACAAAACCAACTAATTCCATTCTGAGAAACGTAAACTATGACAGCGAGTATATTTTATGTATTAGGTATACATATGTAAGTTCCACGCGCTTTCTTTTAACTCCATTGTCAGGCAAGATGAATTTTTAGTTTTTTAAAATTATTACTAATTAATATACTGCATTGTTATTTGTCCGATTCGTTGAATCCGAAATCCATCATATCACGATTCGTTAAATCCAGAATTGAATACACGGAGACAATTTTCTTTTCAAATTTATCCTGAAAATTATATGTATGAAAGAATTTTAAGTTCTTAAAAATGCCATGTTGTTTCGCGATCATGTGATTTTTAGGATAATTTTTAAGAGAAAATTTTTTCGTGTAGTGTAAAAGGAAAGAGAATGTTTTTTTAACTATTTTTTCTTATTTTAATAAGACCGGCGATGGCTCCTCTGTGTCCGCTAGCTTTGCCTTTTAAGATCCATCGGTCGAGATGTAACTAATTGTAAGTATTGACGGACGGTATTTCTTGCGAGCTCGACTAGCACAACCGCAAGAAGTGTAGCAATCGGGAGAAGAAGCGTGGCAGTGAATACCCGACTTTACTTTGCTGAAAAATGCGCAATCGTGAAATCCCAGGTTTAATCAATATTTACTACGTTCTCTATTACGAAGAAGTAAGTCATTAAAGCGAAGACATTGCACATATTTGCACATCGTAAGCTCTCAATTTAAAGAAAGGTGGAAGGAATGCCCGTTGCTACAAAAACAGGGCTGTTTTATAAAATTAATATAAATGAAATTACGTAATGCAATATAGTGTACAGTAGAAAATGATTAAGTTATAATGAAGAATATGCAATATTTACTCACTTTTTTAACAATGTACTTGAAGAGCAGTTTTGGTAGTTTCGTAAATTAGTTTTAATTTCTGTGCCACGTATTTAATTCACGCTCTTCCTCAAAATCCTCCATCAGGTTTAAGATTTCTGATTTATTTAATAATAATTTTTAAATTATTAATAATAATTTTAACTTTTTACCGTTATTATTCTAATAATTAAAGTACTGCATAATTATTTGTCCGGTTCATTAAATCCGAAATCCTTTCGACATCCGTTAAATCGAAGATTTGCTGTAATTGGAAAAAGAATGTTTCTCATGTCAACGCGAGTGATTACTATATTCCAGAAGGGGGAGAAGAGCGTCCCGTTCCATTTGCGACGCGTTCGAGTGCATGACCAGTGACACATATCAACGACGGGGCCAACGATCCTCTTGACACGCGAGAAATTGTTTTCATTCGCGGTGCAAAGTCTCCTTACAGTCTGCAGAAAAACATGCGCTCTTTCGTAAGCCAGCATACAACGAAGCGGACGATACCAGCGAAAGCTGTTACGCATAACTGATTTCGGGCAGAAATCAAGCGAGATTTAATGTATTTATCACAATTTCGCATTTCTCGGAGTACAGCTTCTGGGGACCGTATCTTTTTCTGAGTAATTACTCCTTTGAGATACAATATTTCGTTAATTCGCTATACTCATATTGCCTGACACGTTTATCAAAAAATTGTATTTCTTATTCGCTTTTCTGTACACAGCAAGAGGTAATCTTTTATCTTCTGCACAGAAAAAAATGTGTCAGATTAGCTCGTATAATATACACATATTAATGCATTCCCTAATAGCACAGAAATATTTTAAAAGATTCAATATATTTTAAAATATTTATAAAGTATTTTAAAAAGATTTTAAAAATCTATAATCTTAAAAGCATTTAATAATCTTGCACTCCAACAATATTACAGCTTTATTTAAATACTATTATACAATTGCCATTTTAAGAATACATATAATTATTTTAACAATAAAATTATTTTAATCATTATAATCTGCGATTTGCAAATATGTTATACTCTATCCAATATTGTTTCCTTTTCATTCAAGAAAATTATTCTTCAATAACAAGCATATATTTTTCTTGATTGAATTGTATAAAATTGCTTCATTCAAGTAAGTTTTCTTCTTTTAACGCTAATATATTTTCAAAAGAAGAATATTGTTTTTTCTGTGTATTAATTTAGTTTATTTTGTTTTTATGCTGCTTAGATGAACACTTCGTGCAAGTTGCTTCAGATTATTTATATTCTGATGAAATATCATTAACACAGGCACAGCTTCCCGGTGAATTAAGATTACAATATCGCATTATGCAAGCGCGTTTAAAATCAATGCGAAATAAATATTTATACGACAAGCAAGATATACTACGCGTGATGATATTTTCTAACAATAAGTATGACGAATTGAAATGTCACCAAAAGTTAGCATCGAAATATCATTTCTTTTGCGGAAACTTTATGTGCACAGAAAATAAAAGAATATTCTTCTTTCGAAAAGATGTTTAGTTTCAACGTGAATATCTTGAAATGAAATT